TTCAGCGAATTTCGGTGGTGGCTTTGCAACGAATCGACTCAGCTGACTCAGTGTGAACGCCAAATCTGATATCGTGTTTGTGGCTACATAATATACATCAACATTCCTATCGCCTCACGGTACGGAAAGCTGGTGTCTGATTTCTCATCCTTGCTTAGCGGATTCAGTCTCGCGATCACCTCCATCGGGTTTCCCACTGTGTGTCTCCTCGTAGCCAAGTTTACTCAGAATTTTGCGAGCGTACTTCCCTTGACGGATGGTGATGTACTTAGACGTCTGTTCCACCTCCACACCTATGTAATGTGATACACCGCTCACGATAATTACTCATACCCTGACTAGTTGTGGTGCACAGCTCGAAGCTCGATATACTGGGATTATAGCTGTCCATTTCGTAAAAATTAACGATCTATTTTTTTAAACCGAGCAAACTGGAGCAAAGAGCTCGATTAGACCTGCTCAAATTGGCATTTTGCTTTGATCATATTTGTCAAATATCCCGAATTTGTGATGTCACTCAAGTGCAAATCCACGACTAATTGCGAGCTACGACTAATTAGCGTTAACGGTGTACCAGTCACTGATTCTTGAGACCATAAGACTCGTTCACGTCTCCGAACAACTTAATCTTGTACTGCTCATTGTTCGTTGCCACTAAGATATTACCAACGTATACCAGCACCTACGCACTCATATATCCTTCCAGCAGATAGTATAGGCACGGCTCCGTCAATGAACGATGGTATTCAGGGTTGGCAATCCTCTGGTTTAAATCGGAGTTTCATCTCTACCAGACTGTCGTAAGCCGTAGAGAGCTTTCAGCACGACATAGACATGTCCGCTGATCTTGCATGGATATCCAATAATGGAGCGCAGGTACTGTCGAACGCGAAGCCATGCATTCAGATAGGCGCTGCTAAAATCTCCACCGTACACCTCCAAACCAAGCTCAGCTTCAAGTTTATTCTTCCTGAAAAGCCGCTTGAAGCGCCTCTTTGAGGGTGCTTGACTGCTCCCGGAACACCTGAGTGCGCGCTGGGCCCACTCGAAGATCGTCCTTGAACACAACCACCTTGATGTGTTCGTTAAATGGGCTGCCCACTAGGAACGTCGTGAGCTCCTGTATCTCTTGGACGTTTTCGTGCAGCTCGCGCCTTCCTTTCTCGCATGAGAGGAAGCGCGAATGCTGCCGATACTCGTTTTTTTCGGGAAGAACGCGGCTCGGAGCTGTTCGCACAGCCGATCCCAGGATGTGAAACATCCAGGCAATGTCGCCTCCCGCGTGTACACCCAACTCTTAGCACGACCGTTTAGGTTAAAGAGCGCATAAGCAACACGGAGTTGCTCGGTCGAGATCAGAGCCGCGTCCATCGCGAGCTCTACGTCTCGAACCCAGACGTGAAGATTCTCACCTTCCTTCCCTTCATACGGCTTCACCTTCAGCCGTATTGGCTTCGGGCGTGCCGGATTCGTTTCCACCACCGGAGCCTGCAGGTTCTCCCGCACATGTGCGATGAGCGCTTGCTGGTCGGTGTCAAACGCATTGACGCGCTCGAGCTGCTCGGCCGGTGTTGACGCCGCCAGGCTCTGCAGGGCCTCCATCCCGAAGATGCCAGCCATCTTCCGAGCCGAATATGAGTTGTTCAGATGGGAGAAGTCGTTCCTTTCCATGGCGACGAACTTTAGAGAGGTTCAGGTAGTCTACCCGCGTTGGCGTGAATTGACTACAAGTGCTACCAAGTGTGACGTGGTCCCACAGCACCTTGCGCTAGAGGAAGCTGGCTTTTGAGGTATACAAACTCCCAGTGGACAGTCCCTTTTTTCCCTAAGGAAGCGAAGTGACCAATTTGAGGTAAGCTGTAAGCTGAATATATTCATAGGTAAGCTTGAGTTAAATTTACAAACTATAAGTCACCTTTAGAAAAGCTATGGCATCAGCCAATGGTTGGCCTCGGACGACCGATACCATGTACCAGATATCCCGAAGTGGTGTTCCACACGCCGCAGGGCTGGGCTACCACTAATAACTCTGTCAGGCAATTTAACCGAGCAATTAAGCGTCAGTACACACTTCACACAAGGCTCAAGATGGGCACTCTCTTAGGGCAGTTGCTTACCTGCTGTACCGCAGAAAATTTGAATGGCAAAACCTTTGCCACGACGCCAGCTATCCCCAAGTTCATCATATGGCGCGCGAAGGAGTTAGCAGCGGCAAAGCTTCTGCACGAATTATCTTAATTCTACTTGATCCATCGTCAGCCCACCAGATGCCGTCTCCGTAATATCGAAGGCATACCCCCACATCTTCGATCCGATAGTCGGACGGACCCACGAGGCACTCATGCTAACAGCGCAACTGGGGACGCATCTTGCTCACGCGGAAGTCCAAGACATGCCAAACACAGGTTGGCAGGTGTACACTTCAACGTGCTCGTGCGGCTGTCGCTTCTTTCAGAAGTATGCTGACTGCATTCACTTGGTGCATGCGCTCTCCGTCCGTGGTCTGTTACGTGCTGGAAAGCGAGAAACGCTGGTGTATCGAGGCCCCAATAAAGCGCGCCGCTTGATGGGCGAGCTAAAAGCGTCTGGTCGCCCTGCTCAAAGCAGCTACGCTATTGATAAGAACTAGATGTCAATACTGCCAGAGATTAAATATTAATAGGAACAGATAATGACATTCACACCAAATTCATGATACTACGGCAGCATGGATACCTAACTCTCGCGTTTGCAAAACGCTCGCGAAGCAGAGAGATCGTATGAGAATCGGTCGTGCTGCACGTACGGATCAAGTCAAACGCATAGCGCTGCGGGCCATACAGCGCTCTTGTTTGCGCGTTATCGGTACTGTCTGGCAGCCTATGATGATGAAATAGTTTAAGAGCATCATAGTTAGCCCATGCTTATTTTCCCCGTACAGCTCGCCCAGAATAATATCTTTGTCATCAATGGTATCGCCCTGAGGTGTCCTGGGGCCCCCGGGCTGGTCGATAGCGTTGTTTCCCAAGCCGAACAGGCTTTCAAAAAAACTTCGAAAGTAACTGCCAGAGCCACCGACGCCAGAACCCAGATGAGCTGTTACGGCGACGTCAGCTACGAGACCGCTCGCACTACCTAGTAGAGCGGACAAGTCATATCCGCTACCAGACCCAGCCGAGCTATCGAGCAGAGCCAACAAATCGTCACTTTCTGACACGATAGAGTTGCCTAGCATGCCTGACAATTCGGTATTTAGATACGCATCTTCCGACTCAGATCACGAGCCAACGGTCTTCTTGACCGTCGGCTTCTTGGAGTGAGGGCTAGCGTAATTATCTATAAGAAAAAAAGTTGCCAGAGCCTCCAGCTCCTGAGTCCAATCGACTGCTACGGCATCGTTAGTACCGGCTGGAGCCACCGTATCTGGAGTGTCACTTGTGGTGCGATCAACGCCGTGGAAGTTTTCATTAACCCGCGCGTCATTCATTGAGACGCTACACTGAAGCACATATCGGAGCAGAGTCCACTCGGCAAGCACGCGCGCCTTCGTGGTGGTAAATTCACTCTCGCTCATAGCAAAATGCATGTCGTAGACGCCCGTCGTTACCATCTCGCTGTGTACAGGCTGCAGAATGCGCGTCCTCTCCAGCACTTTTGCGACGACATGGTAGAAACACATGAGGTACTTTAGCTCCGCAGCTCCAGAACCAAACGTGTGAGCAACCATTAAATTGCGCGCCGTCGGCGTCGCCCATGACGCTGTCGAAGACAAAGGTCTTGCCAATCACGCGAGTGTAGATTCGCTGCAAGGCAGCAAGCATCTCTGTGTAGTGAAACGTCTTACGCTGCGATGACACACACAGCGCCAGCACATGAAAAACTCGCGCGCAATCTGACACCCCCACGACTGTCACCGGGTAGCCAACCTGGTTGAGCTTAAAGGTGGCATCAACGAGGAGCTGAATAGACCCGGGCTCCCGGTCCGCTTGTAGGAGCAGTCTCCAATATGTTACCCCAACAATTAAAACGTTTTGCGTCGGAACCATTGCCCACCGCAGGAAACCCATTGCCATCGGAAGCCAGTGAAAACGTAAAGCTCTCGTGCTCATCCAGAGTGCTGCTGTAGCCCGCGTCGCGAATCCGCTGGCGGGTTTCTTCTAAGTAGTCGTAACTACCGAGCTTTGTACTCGCATAGTACTGACAGAACCGCTGAATCGGTGACAGCGCTGGCAGGGCTTCAGGAGCGAGGTTGAACTTCCTCAGAATGGCGTTCCGAATCCGAACAGGCTTGAGACTCTCGGTCGTCATCTCCTGCGCGAGCACCTTCATCTCCTCTGTGATCCGCGGTTTCAAGGCAACGCGCATCTCAGTTACGTGCTTCCTGGTTTCAAGAAAGTCGACGAGGTCGACTTTTTCACAGTGTAGTGTTTTGGCTCTCCATGGACACTTCACGTAGGGTGCTTCCACTGCTGTCACAGGCGTCACAGCTACAGCGCCGGAGACGATAACGCATGTTGTGCGGCGCAGCAATTCTGCGCGCACGTGACTAGCTCGCTCTTGGTTATTTTGGATGTCTTGAGCGTCTCCAGCAGTGTGTTGGCATCGTTTTTTGGAGAAGCCGTTGGCAAGAGGCGTTTAAAGGAGAGTTCTAGGCATGGTGGCGGTAGTGCGAGAGCAGTACGCGGTGAGAGCGGGTTACTTAGCTTCTCAAAAAAATAATACGTTAAATGCAAGCCGTTGGGTGCTGGCAGATTGACTGGTGGGTGGCGGTGTACCAATCTCTGGCGCTCGTTGTGTACAATAAGGTACTGATGTAAGCTATGGTGTGCTTGTGGTACTGTTAGGATACACTTGTTGGCTTTAAAGGTATTGGTGGTAGTTTGTCGAATGGTGGTGGCAGTCTGCCCATCAGGTTGTACAAGTGCACGGTAAGGTATTGCTGTAAACGGCTGGATGCTTGTGCTGTTGGTATTAATAGGACACATGTGACGGGGTCACACAGCACCTTGGACAGACGAAGTGCTTAAGGGTATTTACTACCCGAGTAAACGTTAGTCCACGTGTTCCTGGCCTCAATGGGAACGGTTTGCTACTTAGAAGAGTAGATTTAAGACTGATGTATTTATAAGTAAGATAAGCTTGGGTTCCATACAAACTAGAGGTTACCTATAGTGGAGCTAAGTAGTCATGCACTGACTGGTTACGAGAGCACTCGGTACCGTGTACCAGGTGTCCACAAGAGTGACGGGTCACTCTTTATGTAACACGGGGCACACTGGATTGTACATCGTTACATCCTCCCCCACTTAGCTGAGAATCACCTGATTCTCCAATCACAACTGATTCTCCAATCAGAAGTGAGAGAACTAAAGCACCCAAAGGTGAATTCTCTCACTGAGCAGCCATAAGACTGGCGCGGCTCTCAGTCACACCCACAGTGACTTGTGCTTCTAAAGCCCACTGGGATTTGCATCCCTATGCTAACAACTGTGTTGGCCGCAAAGCCTACACTCAGAGCTGCCTTAGCTCCTGCGCTAGCGGGCGTACAGTGCTTTGTCACAGGGTGCAATAGCATCCGAACGTGTGGCATTCGCCCACAGCTCGCATCAAAAGGCACGATAGTCCTCGCGAACGCGTCCGGAGCATGGTTTCTCCCGCGGGGGACGACACCGAGAAGGTCAACACCTTCCCCAGGACTAGAGGGAGCTCCCAGATCACCTCGGGTCATGCCTTTGTCTCCAGCAAGGATCCATCCTTGCGGGCGGAGCTTCTGCCACGCTCTCTTCGCGTCTTGGTCGCCATACCAACGGCGCGTAGGTGTCCTTCATCGACACCGTGTACCGTGACGGTACACAACCGTGGTGTGGGTGTCTCACGTCGACACCATGTACCGTACGGTATAATCTTTGGTGCGGTACGCCCACCACAAGGTTGCCATGTTTGGCGGCAACAGCTTCTGCTGTGCTTTCGCCTGAACGGATTCATGGCCAGTGCTCACATCATGCACGACGCATGTGCAAGCACAGTGTACAGGTCCATGGGCCCGTACACGAGGTACGCCGTGTACGACACGTACCACAGCTACCATAAGTGCTCCGTGCACTTCATGTGTCATGCACGACGAGTTCATTGCGTGGAACTCCTGACAGGCTTCTCGACAGCAGTCAGTGCCGATGCACAGTACGTGCGTTGACTCACAGCGTCCAGAGCGCATCGGGTCGTGGTATGGTGCATATCCTGTGCGCCTATATCAGTGTCTGTCACAGACACCATGTACCTTGATGGTACGCGACTGTGGTGGGGCATATCTCACCACCATGCCACTGCGGCGTTGGTGTCTGGCATTGACACCGAGTACTCACGGGTACCTACCCATGGTGAGGCAAGCTGCCGTCACCACGGTGTCATGCTCGGCGCAGTACCAGTTACGACTGCGTGCCTTGCCTCGACCACCATCTGGGCTGTTGTGGGTGCACTCGTGCACCACACTTGGGTTATCGCTCCACGGCCCATTATACCCGGCGCGTTGCGTACATCACGTACCGCAACCGCTTTGCCGGCGGGTGAGACGTTCCGTTCACCATACTTAACAGGTCGTTCATGACCAAGGGACCGGTGCGTTGATTGCACTAGATCCGCACTTCGCCTCGTGCGTGGTTGCTTGCAACCCTAACACTGCTGATTCGCTCAGCGATTCCGAGGCACCTTGCGCCAGTGGCTTTCTTCGCCACTATGTCTTGTTCGGTTAGAGCTACCGCAGCTCTAGCCCGGCTGTTCGCCTCCAGCCTGTACTCGATGTACATCGACGCCTGGTTCCGTAAGGAACTTGGTCTTACCTCAAGACCAGGGAGGAAAGGTATTTCCGAGCCTCTCCCTCACTTACACCTGAGACCATTGAGGCTCTCGTGGCTTGTGATAGCCACTGGCAGCACGACGGCTACCTGCCTCGTGGAATTCAGGGAGGAAAGGTATTTCCGAGCCTCTCCCCACTTAACCTCGAGACTGCTGAGTCTCTCGTGGCTTCTGATAGCCACAGGCACGTTCGACGGCTCTCCGCCCTGTGCACTGCGTCGGGATGAACGACCGCGTCGGCCGTGTCGACCGAAGGTATCCAGCCTTCGCGTCACCAGTTTAAGTCTGCGCGACTTGACGTCGAGCGAGTTGCTCACGTCTGGCGAAGCCAAGACAACCTCGCGCCTCGAGTCAATGGCCCTGTGTGCGGAACAATGTTACCCGCCTTGGGTGCGGAACTCTGTTACCCGCCTTGGTTGTGTGGAACTCTGTTACCCACACCGGAAGCGCATACAGCGACTTCCTTATCAGTTATGGTCTGAGTGACCTTGCGTCGAACTTTGTTACCCACGCTCGGAGCACCGAATGTCGGTCTCCTTAAGCAGCTTCGCTGCTTAAGGAACTTCTTACCCGCAGTGTGAACCTATGTTGCCCATCTGGTGAATGCCTTTCGGCACCACCACTGTCGAAGCGCATTCGGCGCGACGACCTTCGGTGTTGGGATCAGCTGACGTGGCAGACCCGCACACACACCGGACAGAGTTGGAGTCCACCGACCGAGTCAGAGGAGTCCGGGTCCTTGACTTCGAGTCGCGTGAAGCAACGTCAGCCTGAACAAGGTTCAGACCCGACTTGCGG